AATTGAGGCTCCCCCTTTTCAGATGACTCGAGCTTGTGTCAAGCTGACATAAACCAGGACGATACCTATGTAAACTATCTAGCTTCAAAACAGTTGACTTATTACAGGCCGTGAACACCTCAACAGTTCCACCAACTTCGGTCCAAGTCAAAACACCAGACATTGGCTGAGACATAGTTCTTGCACATGCCCTTAGAGGAATGAGAGAAACAGAAGAAGGATCCAGGACCTAGATTCCCAGGCAGCCCAAGGCTCCCTTCACCCATGATGACATTCTCATGAGGATCCTCCAGGTGCCAACACACAAACTGGTGAACTAGAATAGGAGCTTCCCTGTTCATACAGCCATGCCCAGGACTGGGTCTGTCACTGAAGCACCATGAAGGCACTGGTTGCTAAAATAGTTCCATGACTACTGGAAAACAAATCCTGGCCTACCCATCCACTCTAACTACAACAGCCACTCTGGTTACCCCTATGGGCCCTTAACTGTGCACTCCACAACAGAATAAGTGCAGGTTGGTATGGCTCAAGGGCAGTCTCAGCTCTAAACCAGTCTAAGTGCCTGTATCTGTCCAGATGGCTAATGCGCATGCTGTCCAGTTTGTTAATTATTATGAGAAGCACCTTTCACAAAGCCACAAGTCACAATCAGCCATTCATCAGAGAGCTAATTTGCCTAATTCTGAAAAGGTTTAAAGAACTTAACTTACAGTTAATACCTCTTCTTTTGCAGGTCAGGTTGCCCAACTGCATCATTCATATAATAACCAAACTCACATTTCCAGAGCCAAGTACAGGGTACTAAGCCCTGGATTCAGAGATAATCAATCACCCCCGCCCCCAAGTGCCTGCCAATGGTGCTGTATCTGGTGCAGGGGAGGAGCAGAGAGGTGGAGTCAATGACAGCAACCAGAGGAAGAATGTGTGCTACAAAACAGAGGCCAGTTCAGTGCTATGGGACCAAGGAAGGTCACTCTAGACAGTGTTAAGGATAAACATAATACCACATAAGCAGACGGGCAAACATAAGCAAAGGCACCAACTGTACTTTCAGGCATTGTCAAGCTCCACAGTTCGTTAAGAGCAAAGGAGACTAGACCAACAATGACAGCCAGAGGAGGAAGAGCCACAACTTCCTTATTGCTTAGAATCCAACATTTCTCAAGAGATGATCCTTAATGGAGCAGATACCAGGCTCCTCTCCCAGGAAGCTGGAAATTCTTAGTATTAGGTACACAGCAAACAGGAATGACCAGACGAAGGATACTAATTTGCAGAGTTGCTAGACAAAGCCTCCCCATCCCACCTGTTGTTGTAAGCTCAACTGTCGGCGAGAAGGCACTGGATAGTCCCTATCAAAGGAGTTATCAAATAAATTTCAGAAAAGGACATGAATACATTTGCATGTAGACACCCAAATTCAGTCAAGCTTGCCTTAGAGAAAATGAGTTTGCTGCCTGGTAACTGCTGAGAACACTTTTCTGTTATGAAGCCATCACTCCCATACTTGAGCTCCTCTGCAGTCATTAAATAACTGTTCTGCTGTGGATACAGTACTCTGATCCAATGAGCTGGTACCTCTATCCTGCTCATTGCATGGGTAGGATACCTACCCAGTCAACATGCCAGATAATTAGAAGGCTCGAATATTTAAGTCCAACAAAGTCTTAGTCTCCCTTGAAACTATAAATTCAAACCTTTCACATGCACCAGGGTGAAAAGGCTGGGCCTGCAAATAAGCATTAAGGTGTGTTCATATATGAGGCTCTTTCTCCATGGCACACAATGTAGTTCCCCTCCCTGGCCCCTCAGAAGCCTGGATCTAATAATACAACAGAGCTAGGAGACTGAATCTCTGGTTCTCTGGCCAAGTTCAAGTGCAGAATCTATTCAAAACCTGGTGGTTCCTAAGTCAGAGTTTTGTTCAATCTTTGCAGGAAAGCAAGGGGTAAGATCCATATCTACCTCCTGAACATGGAGCAGAATTAATTTAACATACCAATCATTTAGAAGGAATTCAGTACCCACAAAGAAATGGGTAATATTTTGTAAAGTCCCACTGAACTATAATAGGAAGAACTAGAAATCAGCCAATACTGCCTCTATAATTGTGTTAGTACAATTGCACCTTCATCATTGTTTTATTTTGACCAAGCAAACTACACTGTAAGCTTAACAAGGAAACAGTAGTCCCTCCTTCCCTCCCCAGTTTTCTCCTCAAAGCCTCACTCCCAGGCAAAACTAACTTGCAATTCCTTAGGTGCTACTTCTGCTCTGTCTTCAGCTGTCAACATGACATTCTCACTCTTGTGTTTCCTGATTTCTTACATTTCAGTTTACCAACTGGCTTGAATCAGGAGTGTGGAGATTTAGATTTATCTCTTGCATCAGTCATCTGCATCTCAAGACACCCCCCCCCCCGCCAACAACGGTATCATTAACTAGTTGAAACAAGATTTGCATTACATTTATAGCCACACAAATACTTGCCAAGCAATGCAGCATTCATGATCACACATTTTGAACTTTTGGAATTAGTAACTAGTTTTCTGTATTTGCCTATTTAGTTCATACAATTATTATAAACTGCAAATTTTCTCCAAATTCTCAGAAAAAATTTAAATCACACTAATAAAGTCAAACACATTAGTAATTGATCAACTCTGCTGTAACTTCCCAGAGGAGTACCAGATAGTACTCTGCCCTCAAAGACCCAAACTTGGACTCTCCACTAAGTAGCTCAGCTGTCACTCTGGACTTCCCTTCAGCATATCCATGGGAAACCCCTACTTTTTGGATCCTTTCTCTCTCTCGGGTTAGTCCTTTGTGTATATGGCCCTTCTATCAGCCAAGAACTTCTAGGAGAATACATGCAAGACAATTTAAGGTAGCACATATCTGAAAATACTGGCTCTGCTCTCACACTGGCTGACAGACTAGCTGAGGACAGAAAGCTAGGCTGGAAACCACTCTCCCTCAAAGTTACAGAGCATCACTTCCATGGCTTCAGTGTCTAAAGCAGCTGCTCAGAGTTCTGATGTCATTCTAAGTCCCTCTTCCTACATGGTGCATGTTGCTCCCCTCTCTGGAGCCTTTCGGTTCCTTTCTTAGACACAAAACTCTGGAATATCATAATGCCTTACCTCAACCTATGGGTCTTCCTTTATTCCTTGTGCAGGAACAGGGGTCTTTCTATACTGGGACAAGGCTCCTAATACCTGGACCTGCTTCTGCTTTGCTTCCTGGTGCTCCAGTTAGTCATATTTTGGACTTGAACCATGTTTCTAATTTCCTTATTTTCACCTTTTCCTTATCTTCTTGTTTGTTTAATTCTGTTTTCTGGAAGACTTATACAACTTGTATCTTCAACTTTCTAACTCTTATACTATAAATGTTTATGTCAGCAATCATACACTGAATATCCAATCTGTCATTATTCTGATCTTGTGTGTGTGTGTGTGTGTGTGTGTGTGTGTGTGTGTGTGTGTATCACAGCATGTGTGCCACAGCACTAATGGAGGTCAGAGGATAACTATGTGGAATGGGGGGGGGGGAGTAAGCTCTCTCCTTCCACCTTTATGTGGGTTCTGGGGATCAGGCTTATATGACAAGCATTTATGCCCACTGAGTCATCTCATGGATCCTGAGCTTACTTCCTACTTTACATTGTTTTGGTATCAGATTTTTGTGGTTTAAAAAGCTATATAATTTTTACTGTTGCCATTTCTACTATATATCCCCTCCAGGTACTTTAAATAGGGTCTCACTCTATAGCCCAGGTTGGCTTCACACTAATGATCCCCTGTTCTCAGCCTTCCAAGTGTTAGGATTATAGGCATGAGCCACCCACCCATATTTCTATTTACCTTCCCTTCCTTCTCTTTCTTTAACACTTTCTCCCATTTGATGAACTTATGCCACTCACCTTTTAAATACTAAATGCTCAGAAATGGACTGAGCAATAGTAATCTTACTGGGAGATGTACAGGTGAAAACCAGCTGTTTGAAAAGGATCTTCAACTTTCAGTATCTTTCATTCTTTTCTCCTCTGGGAGGAATCTCGCTGGCTGGGGTCTGCATACTTTAGTCACTTGATTCCCTCCATTGCCGTTTCTGCTATATAATTTTCTGCTGTCTCCAATGACCCCCAGGCAGGCACTTTTATTGCTTACATTCTCCAGAGATCTCTTGCAGGCGAGGAAGAGAAGGGGGCCGCTACCTGTCTAGAATCTCAGTTAAATCTCTTGTTTTCAAAGGTACTGGCCACATCTTATGTCTGTTGAGTCTTTCTTGAGGTATAGCCGATTTGTCAGCTTGATTTTTGTTGGCTATTCTTTATGTGCCACAGTGGCAAAATTGAATCCTGTGCAGTTCCCACTCATCCAAACATATATAACATCCCAAATTCTGTTAACTCACAGCTTCTGTTGTACAGTTCACCTACATAGCCCCATGTGCTTTCATTATTCTGCGCTTACACTCTTGTTTTCAGTGAAGTATCAGTAGTAGGTAGCAGCATTATACTTGGATTTAATCCACCACAGTTACCAAGTAAGATGTGAATTCCAAGACTAAACAGGAGAGGAAATGGGCAACGGAGTAGTACTTGAGCCCTCAATGAGTGGACTGGGCACAGGAGCAAATTCAGCTAGGGAACTGCCATTTAACATGTGACCAGGGTAAGCACTTCCCTTCTCTGACTTTGCTTCCCTTCCTATCAGCTGAGGATCATATAACACAAAGGAAGTTCTATGTGCCATAAACACAGGAGTGAAGTCTGTTAAAGTGGTAGTGGTGGATTATGCCTCGGATCCCAGGGCTCCAAAGGTGGAGACAGCAAAATCAGAGGCTCAAAGCCATCATAACTACATAGTGAGTTTGAGACTAGCCAGGGCTACATGAGTTGCTGTCTCAAAGAAAAGGTTCTTACAAGAGTTTAAAATAAACAATTACACTGAAAGGTGATTCACATATGAAAGGAAAAGATGCTGTGGTACCTGAAGCATCAGGTCCGTCTGACTGCCACTTTCTGTTAAACATTTGACCATGTGTTCTTGAGTAGGGAGCTGTTTATTGCTTTCGCTCGGAAGACTCTTGCAATGATTCTCCACTGCCTTCTCTCTCTCATTCACTTCATTTCGTAGTTTTTCAACTTCATTTCTAAGTTCCTACCATAAGAAAAAGAAGAAAAACACAATTTACTTGCTAAGAGTTCAAGGTGAAAATCTCTTACCGTAAAGTTTCACTTCCCAAGTTATGACGAAAACAAGCTCATCAGTGTATTTAACAAATATAGCATTCTTTCTCATTTAGAGTTTTACAAAAACCAATTTTCAGAACATCACAAATTTAGAAAAGTCTTTATGCACATGATATTATTTACAATGCTGAAAAACCAGAAAAGCAAACAGCCTGAAACAAGGAAAAAAAATAAGAGAAAAATTATAGAGAATAAAATAGTTATAAAAACACAATTACAAGTAAAGACAAAGCAGGATAATCAAGCTATGTGTATAATACAATGCTGGTTATTTCCTTCATGCTTATCCAACTGAGGGAGCACTGTGAGAGGACACCTAAACGGAGGGATGATAGCGGTTTTCAGGAAACTTTTATCTTGTCCCTGAGTTTCTAAAATCCTTTTTTACTTTTGTCACTGAAATTCTAAAATGCATGTAATCAATCAGAAAAGGGCTTAACAGTGGTCATGAAAAACCTGTAATAATGCACAAATAATCTTGGTAGGAAATTTTTTTAAAAGAGAGAGAGAAAAAAAAGCAATATACAGTAAGACTGCCACTATCTTATGACAGGTGTTTGTGAGGCTGATTTTTGAAGTTGACTATTTGGAAAAGCAAAAACTGAACAACCCAGATGTGCACCAAAAGGAATAAACTGTGACAGTTTCACCACAGAACACTTGCACTGTGAAGAAAAAGGAATAGGGTCTCTCTGAAGATGCCCCAGAGTCATCTCCAGAACATAGCAATGTAGATTTGAAGGGAGGGCGAGCCAGGAGAAATGAGAAAGGAGAGCATACTGCCATGTATTTCACCATAACACAAACTAAATGGCTGCCCCTAAGACAGAGATCTGGGTAGAAGAAACAAAAGAAAAGACAGAACTAGCTTACAGATGTGGCCATTTAAAATTTGACACAATTATCTCTTTTAATGTTCCCCTAAAACTGAAAACAGAGCAAGCAAAGCCACAATGAGTGGCTTTGTTGGGTTGAGCAAACAGAAACTGCTTCAGTCAGTAACCTGTGGGTGGAGTAACGAGAACACATACTCTTACTGAGGTATCTCTCCACAGACAATGGGGAAGACAAACCATATTAAAACTGTTTTAAGTAACTACGTCAAAAATAATACTAATAATAGTATTCTGAAGTACATGTACATACCTAATATATATTTATTAAGTGAGTAGTTACTTAATCCCATTAGAACTGGGACTAATAGGAAAGAAATACAAACAGGAACAAAATTAGACTCACTTTAAACCTGACTCTGAGCTATGCACATGCACTTACACTTTGCTGTTTCCTTCCTTCCACTGAGAAGGGCCAGCATCAATGTCCTGCTGGTGTCCAGTGTTTTCAGCTATTCTCCACCAAAACTATGTGCTTTTTCTGTGGTTCCCAAAGTTTAGTACTAAAACAGAAACATCTGCATCCTGACAACTAATGCTGCAGACCTCTAGAAAGGTAGACCCATCACTTTATATTCTAACAGGTCCTCCAGGTAGCTGTTTAGCACATGAAGTTCATCTCATGAGAACAGATGACTAACTGCAGACTTGGGACAGGAGCATAGAAGATGAGCCCAGATATCTTTTCATACCCAAGAGGAATTAAGGGATCAAGGTCAACAATAAGCACATCCAAAGGGAACAAGCAGAATAAGTTTTTTCCACTATTAAGGGAGCAAACAGAATTTTCATAAGGATGAGCACGGAATTCAAATACATCAAAAACCCACATTAAATGCTGAGGATACGGCTTAGTGGAAGAGGCTTAGTACACACAAAGCCCTGGGTTCAATCCCTAACACATGTGCACACACATGCACAGTGGGCTTAAGGAAATCCATGAATTCATACCACTTTAAAAAACAAAACAAAAAACCACTTTAGTTACTTTGTTAGGCAGAATAACTAACTGTTCCTCCAGAGATGTTCCCACTCCCATACCTATATGGCAAAAAGGAATAAAGGTTAACAGATGAAATTCAAGCTGTTTATCAGCTGACTTTAAAGGGCACGTGTCATCCCAGATTATCAAGGTGGCTCCAATATAACTACAAGGGCCCTTGAAGAAGGAAGGGATAGCAGAAGACATCATGTAGCACTGAGGATGAAAAAGGGCCACTGTTCCAGAAATCAGTCAGCCTCCAGAATCTACAGCCTCCAGGAGGAATACAATACAACCCTAAGACCTGGATTTGGTGAGCCCTGTCTCAGACTTCTGACTTCAGAAGAGTTAAGACTAAATCTGTACTGAGATTACCTGCTATAGCTGAAACATGAAATTAATGCCTTTTTAGGTGTCTAGAGAACCCCTTTTGTTATTTTTATGTTTAATTTTTACTATATGAACTGCTCCTCATAACAAGCAGCTAGATAAGAAGAAACAAGTACATTTTTCCAGGCATATTTAGCTATAAAATGGGAAAAAATAAAATCAGATAATCACCATTTTGTAAACAATAACAAAATCAGAGACTCCAATATTGGGGAAAAACAAAAATATTTTTAAATTAAATGTTGCCCCTTCAAGGGAAAACGATGAGGCTACCTTAGATCCTTAATCCAAAATAAGATCACAAGCTATCATGAACTCTAAGCAGTAAACCAAAATTCAATTCTAGAGGGGGTACACAATTTTTTTGGTCATATGTTTGTTTTTAATTCTCCACACAAAACTGTCCCTGGTGTCTCTGGGTTATTAGTTCTAGACCCCCAAAATGATACTACAAGTAACACCCAAGTCCTCCCTATAACAGTAAAATACTTGCATAGAATCTGTCCACATCCTCCAATTGCTATAATATTTAGAACAATGCAAATGCTGTCTGTACACAGCTGTTACACAATATTGTTAGAGAATAATGGCCAGAAGTGTCTACATTTAATACAGACACAATTTTCAACTCAGGCTTGGTTAAATGTGTAAATGCAGAATCCAGACACAGAGCCAGCTGTAATGCTAAAGCAACAGTAACAGAATAATAACCAATAAGCTAGTCCTGCCAACAACTTAAGCCATGTTCTAGTTGTGAATGCTTTTGGACCCTCTCCAACTGCAATGAGTTTTTAGATTATTTTAGATTTTTTTTAGATTATTTTAACTTTGATTTAAACTTTTTGCCATTTTTAATTATTCTATTATACCATGACTTATAAAGAATATACAGCAAGTAAATAAGACACTAAAAAGAACAATTAAGAAAGAAAGAAGAGGGGGAGGGGAGGGGAGGGGAGGAGAGGGGAGGGGAAGAGAGGGGAGGAGGGAGAGGAGGGAGAGGAGGGAGAGGAGGGAGAGGAGGGAGAGGGGGGGAGGGGGGGGGGGGAAGGAAGGGAGGAAGGCAGGCAGGCAGGCTGGTGTGATGCCTCAAACCTGGACAGCCTAGTCTACAGAGAATATTCTTGGCCAGCTAGGTCTGCAGAGCAAGACCCTGTCTCCAAAAATCAAAACAATTCTATACAATCTTCTCATTTAGCAATTTTAACAAACAGAGCAAAATTAATTGCACTGTATCCTTACAGTCTCCAACTATTTGAGCCTCCACATAACATGTTATTACAGTGTACTGCTTTTATTGCTGTGGATATCTTTTAGCTTTAGATTTAACTTTTCAGGAAAATCTGAGGAATTTCTAGGTCATAGGTTATGCATATTTTGAGATAGTAACCAAAAAAAGCACAAAACAAAACAAACAAACAAACAAAAAAGCCGTAGGCTATGTTTTATCACATCCCTGTCAGTACTAGTTTCCAAACTATTTGCTAATGGAACTGATAGAAAAAGCTTCTCCATAAGTGTTTAAATTTGCATTTCCTTGATCACCAACCATGTCTGTGACTACTGTTCATACCCTCTTGTAAACTGTTCTTGCCAGCTATGAATGACAATACTTTAAAGAACAGTTCAAACAAAAGCTGTTCCTTTAAGAATCATCTACAAGGGGCCTACAGAGATGACTCAGCAATTAAAAGCAATTGACTGTTCTTTTAGAGGACTGGGTTTGATTTCCAGCACCCACATGGCAGCTCATAGCCATCTGTAACTCCAATTCCCAGAGAGCTGATGCCTTCTTCTGGTCTCTGTGGGCACATGGCTATGTTAGTGGTGCATAGACATACATGCATGCCAAGCATTCATATACATAAAAAAATTAAAAAAGAATCACCCAAGGTATGCAATTACAAAGCACAGATTCAATTCTCCCACATCGGAATTCCTTCCAGGGCAAAGTCCATCTAACTTCCTAAAGCTATTACAGAGGAGGCAGGAATCACCTGTCCAAAAATCAGGACTTTATTATATATTTCCCCTTGGGGTCTTGTTGCTGTTTCTAATCACGATGAACACACACCAGTGCCAGAGAAGCAGCTGTGACTGTGAAGTGTGCACACAGGAGATCTGGAATGCTCCTACATTTAGAGTCAATGGAGCACAAGCTATTGGGGGGCAAGCACTTACCATGACCCAGACCTTGTACCAAACATTGTCATAACTAATCTGTTTCATCTTCAAAATTTATGATGTTTTTAATCCCAGCACTCAGGAAGTTGAGGCAAGAAGAATTCTGAGTTCGAAGCCAGCCTGATCTACAAAGTTGAGTCCCAGGCCAGCCAGGGCTCCCTAATGAGACCTTGCCTCAAAAACAAACTTATGATGACCTTTGAGCCCCACCTGACTCTGGCTGAACCCTGGCAACCTCAAAGCTCTCTGCTTGCTGCTAAGCCCACTAGTTTTTTACATTGTAGGTATGTACTCAACTCATGACCCTCATGCTTGCTGTACCCAATGCCTGTGGTTCAGGGCTGTCCTTCACCTCCTGCAGGTCATGTCACCTCACTCCAGTTTTTTAACCTCCCTCTCTCTGCCTCCTTCTCCACACTCCTTTCCTCTATTATCCCTTTCCATAGAACCTACTAATAT